AATACGCATCTGATAAAACTGCAAAATATGGCGGCATTCAATCGGTGAGAGTAAGTACATCGGCTGCAATTTAAGCGTTGTCGCGAGGATTGACGATGGCCCGATTTGAACGAAGTGCATTTTCGCGGCAGGTTCCTGAACCCTCAACGGCGAACTTTTCGTTGTTGTGCAACGTGTTTTTTTTTTTTTTGAGGGGGGGGAGGAAAGGAAATGTCCCAGGTCAAAGGTCCTTGCGAACGAAGAGAAAGCTGCAGGGAAAGCCACTGTTTCTGCGCTTTGGTTAGCTTCTTGGTCAGCTTTCAACTCGTCCGGAATGCTGGAGCAACACTCAGCTACTTCAGTCTGCGCCGTCCACACGATGCGATGCGTTCGTGTCACCAGGTTGAATGCATATCGATCGGTTGAACAACGTTGCTAGTGGTGCTGCTAGTGTGGGGAGCTTGTAGAAAACGCTGTCGGAGGTGTTGCTACGTTGTTCCAACAAAAAAAAAGAACTGAATTAACTCGTATGGAGTGGCATTAAGAATAAAAAGTAGGGAAAAGAATATTAATTTCGTGTTCGATTTCTCAGTGCATATTCCAAAATGCTTGCGATATGGGAGAAGGCACGACTTAGCCTCAATCTGATAGAAAGGAAAGTTTTCAGCGTATCAAGTTGGGAGACTTTCGAATTTTCTCGGACAGCTCCCGGACGACGATCATGGAAATAGGAGCAAGGCCCTGCATTAGGAAATCGGAAATTTCGTGTTTCTCGGGTGCAGTCTTCGATTTGAAACCAGCTCGGGAAGCCAGGATGAGTCGGACGAAGCGAGGTGGGATCTCGTATCGGCGGGTGGTATACAGTGGTGGGCACTTTCTCACGAAGCCGTCCAGGAACTCCTGGAAGTTCGGTTCCTTCTTATTCTTCCTGTCGTCGACGGATTTTTGCCTGTCGGCTCCGACGGCTTGATAACGAAGAGGTGGGCCTCCGCGAAGAATCCGTGGGTCTGCGTTGACTTTCGACATCGGCGAACAGCGGTCTCTAGCAGAAGCATCGTCCCTGCCTCCGAAGGCCCTTCCCGATTGAAACCGTTGGGGTTCACGACATCCCGATCTGCAATACGAAGAGTCTCCTCCGCCCGTCTTCGAGGGCCGTGGTGTGTCGCGTTGCATGGGCTGACGGAGAGGGAGATCCCGACCATTGGGACCAGAGTAATTCCGTGGGATCGTCATCGGCCTGTAGTGCATGGGGCGGGTGTCTGCTGCTTCCCTACGAGGTATCTCGTCCTTTCGGGGATGAGTTGGGTGCTGGCTGGGATGCCCAAACGAAGGATTCCTTCTCTTCCCCGCGTCCACGGACGTCGAGGAGGAAACCTTGAGGCTCCTGCTCTGGCTTTCCAGACTGCTGGTAGACCGATGAGAATTGGTAGACCGATGAGAATTGAACCCTTTCTCACGGTCCACGTTCGTCTTTCGGGTGCTGGCAGTCCCCCTCGAAGTAGACATAGGTACTCCTGTTTTCTCTCTCACCTGCTGCTGCACTTCCTTCGACTTCGTCTCGACCTTCAAGGCAACAGATTTCAATTTTTTTCCGCGCGCTTGGGTGACGGTCCAGGGAAATCGTTCTCTCTCGTGGGAGGGTGAGGGAGGCACGTCATTCGAGACTCGATCATTTTCCCACGACCCAGTCCGTCTCGAAGAGGAAACATCGTCCCTCGTTCCACACCGTTTCCCGAATCCCGAATGCGAAGATGTCCCCCCGCTTCCACTTGCCGCGTCGGAAGACTTGTTCTTATTGACCCTCGATCCTCGATCTGGATTCTCGGACGACTTGTTTAAAGGACCTTTGGATGTTCCTTTGCCGGCGGGCTTCGATCCTTGGGTTCCTGTCGCTGACATATAAATCTGTTTCTTCCTCTCTCTCTTATGAAGCTTTCCTCGTTTCGATCCCACCCGCTTGACCTGGAACCTGGATTCTTGTTTTTCATTTGGAGGCTGCTGCTCTTCTGAGGTCTCTGCGTCTCCGTCCGAATCCTTCTCTCCATATGCAGTACCGGTCTTTTCACTTTCTTTCCCATCAGCAGGAGACGACTGTTTCTTCTCTGTTTCATGTAGCAATTGCCGGATTGACGAAGTTTTTAGCGATTCGGATTCGCTGGTTCGATCTTGTCCTGACCTACGCTTCCTTTCCAGTTGGGGTGAGGAGTCGCTTTTTGATTTCAATCCCAAGTCAGGACAGCCATCTTCCAGATCTTTTGCCTCTGGGTCATTACCTTCGTCAGATTCTCCCGATGAAGTTGGATCACTGGCAGAAAGGTTTGAGGTTTCCGACAAGGCTTCTATCATGGAACTTCCTTCCGATTTCGCCTTCATTGGGATCCACAGGGGATGGAAATTCTCCGAGGTTCGACGTGTCGTGAAGCGATCGAACCGGCTCTGCTTCAAGTAATCGAGCAGCGGAGTGGAAACCGCTGATTTCTCCGCCTGTCTCTTTTTTATGTCTGCCAGCATATTTTCTATCTTTGGCTTATCCTGAGGTTTCTTGGATCGATCGTGCAAGAATTTCAGATAATGGCGGTCGTCGCTTGCGGTCCCCGACAGAGGGTCCGTCTTGGAGCGACCTCTAGTGGGACTTTGATTGACAGCTAGCTCGATCTGAGCCCAGTAGCTCCGGCCACCTACCTTTAACTCCCGGTGATGAAAGCGAGACTTGAAGCTGAGGGCGGCGCCGCTAGAGGCGAACGTGATGTATGCCCGGGCGTAGCGACTTCCGCACTCCACGTCGTCTTCGGAATCCGGTCTGACGAAGTAGAACTCCGTGTGATCTTCGAGGGGGGAGGCGACGTCCAAGAAGTCCGACCGGGTGAAAGCTGGCGGCAACCGACGAACCACGAGCCGCGTCCCGGATTGGTCTTCTTCCCCGGTTGTATCCTCTCGGGACTCAGAGCCTGGTTCCATCGGCGATGTTTCCCGTGAACTGTCCGTGCTCGTCTCATCCTCGGGTTCACTCACCGACCAGCTCCGTTCCGTCATTCCAGTACAAAAGCACGAATAGTTTCTATTGCATTTCTGAGAGAACGATAGAAGGGCCTGTGGGGTCCATCCAAAGACTGCAACAAACATCCCCTCACCTTGAGAGGCGTTTTTTTTCTGTCCATGTCCTCAATTGATATTTCGAGTATACAGGCTTTGGATAAATGCAACGATACGACCCTGTGCATATTCAAAATGTATCCGATTTATAATCTCAGTCCCAAATGAACATTCTATCAAGTGTACCGACCGGCGATTCTCGATAGTGGATATCGCCGCTCCTGCCAAGCACTGAGACAGGAGAAGAAAAAAAGTGTTTTTCCTCTCGATGAAAGTTGCCGTTCCCTTCTCATTGACCTAATCGTTTAAACTGAAATATTTTTGTATTTTTATTCACAGAGCCTATTTTGATAGCCCAAATCAGACATACCGAAGGGGAGGACAGTTACGACAGAGTTGGCAAATAATGAAGATTCCTGCGTGAGACAGTGCCAGAGAATCGGTGACAGCTCAGACAGCTTCCCCGAATGATTCAGGTGTCACAATGACACGTGGCAAAGACTCCTGATGTGAATGTGAGTTACTCGTGAGACATTTGCAGCTCTTCGCTTGTCCGACAAATACCGTTCACTCACCATTCATACTCATTCTTGGTGGGGTTTGTAACACCTGCACGAGGGTCATAAAACAAAGTGAGTTCAAATGGGACAAAGATGGATTGCGTTCTGAATCCTCTATCCCTCACTCCCCTTGTCCACACATTGGGAGTTTCCGCAGTCACCCATGAATGCCATGAGTTTTGAAGAATGTTCCGAGCAACGTTCGTAGCTACTACGTTCGAGGCGCATTTTCTCAAGTGCGCTTTCAACACACGTTTCATGTATTCTACTGAATGGGGTCACGGAAATTGCCGAGATCGGGTTGAGTAGTAGCATCGGTAACGTTCGGTGAGACAGCAGTTGAAAAGACAATTTTCAAGACAGATGATCGTCTGTAGCGGTGATTAGTGACCGATTAGGGGAGGGGTCAGTTGGAGCAGGTATTGGCTGCATTGAAGGGGTTTAACTAACTCCAAATACGTATCTCTATTTCAAGCACAGGAAACCTTTCCGTCCTCCCTGGATCTTTCGCTTGAGTACTTGAAGAGGTCGTGCATCATCTGCCAGTCCATGTTCGTATTCAATATCACAGTTTTTCCCCGAATGCTATAACATTCACGAGGCTCTTGTTTTTAAGAAGGGACCTTGAGGTCCATATTTGAACATTTAGAATGTTCCACATAATCGTCATACCAAATCCTCCCCTCCCCAGTTCATTCAATCCTTGCATAGTATATTATATCTATTACTTTTGAGGATACTGACCATACATGCAAAGGAATGAAAGGCTTTGCAAATTTATTGCTAAAATTAGTTACATCTTTGTCTCCATCACTCATAAAAACGCCCTAAGAGGTTTGTTTTTGAGTTCCTCCGTGTCTAAGCGACTTGAGTCTTCCTGCTATTTTCAACCAAGAAGCCACTCATGAAAGACTGGACCGCTCTCATGCAGAGTTCGAGGCCTTCCACAGGGTGTTCATTCGAGTGTGCATTCGGAACATCCAGCCGCCCGCCCGTGGAGTGAGGCGTGTGCCACGAGGCTAACCCGGCTGCATAGCTCTAAGGATACGCACAATCATATCGTAAAGGAAGTGCCAAACCGAGCCCGATTTTGTTGTCCCAGGGTGCTGGAATGACCTCAGACAAGCACTACGAGTTGGATGTTCTTCGCGTTGCGTTTAAAATATGAACATCTATTATTAATATGGGGAATGAACTTCAGTAGACTTCATATTAAGGAAAAATATGAATGTTTTTATGATATTAACCTATGAACATGGTGACTCCACGGAGTCATCACTAATATATCCCTCACTAAGCGTACAACACAATAAAGACTGAACTTCACACGACGCCTTGAAGGAGCGGAGTTCCTGGGAATATGAATCACTTTGTCTTGGTGTATACTCGGAGGAGGAAAGTCTTTTATTTTTCTTGGAAGTCCTTTTTATCTTCATCGGTCAGGCTCTTGATGTGAATTCCCCACACGATGATTCCTGTATCCGGGGGGAAGAATTGGCGGAATGCAGCAAATGGCCCGAATTGGCTGGACAATGCCAGGACAAACAATCCATGTCTCCGTCTCCGTTCGACGACTGGTACTGTTCGTAATCTCCCTGATGAGGATTACCGTTGCATCCAGCGAGACCGTAGTCCACTGGTGACAGTTCCTGGGCAGAGCAGGGTCTCTGGATCAGGAACGGCCAAGTCTGCAGGGAACAATGGAGGGGGAAGACGGAGAGATCAGAACGGGAAGGAAAAAAAAAGTTTAAAAGTCTCCGGCACTTTGGCACGGACCGAAAACAACATCTCACTTCCTCCGACTTCGATAAGGAATCGGCTGAAGGGGAAGGAAGTATAAATAGTTAGGAGCAGGTGGAGCGTTTCATTTTCTATTTATCTGGCTGGGCCTGATGCCGGAGGACTAAGGGCCGGGTCGAAGAGGAGGGAAGTAAGTTTGCAAACACCTCCTTCCTCTCCTCAAAAGTGACAGAAGTGAAAAGAGTTGGCAAGCCACGGGATATGGATTTAACCTCAGCCATTAACCTATGAAGTCGAAGAAGCCCGGAGGGTGTCAAATGTCTCTCCCGGGACAGACCGACCCTTCCTTCCTTCTTCCTGCCTTCCTTTTTTTTTTTTTTTTTTTTTCCTTCTGCGGTCTCCACTGTATTCCTCGTGAGAAAAAAAAAACTTCCTGTCAGACCTCGTACCGATCCTCCAGAAGGCATTTTAAATAACTGCCTTGCGATCCACATTTCATGAGGGGAATTTAAAAAAATCTGAATCCTTTTCCTTCCCTGGCTCCATCCTGCCTCTCCATAAACGGTCATAAAATGTTGTTTTTCGGAAAGAAACAGAAGGGGGGAAAAAAAGGAGGAGGGGGTGGGAAGAGACTGGGGGGCTCATTTTCGATCTGTGGCAGAACTCGAAGAGACCACCAACGTGAAAGGAAAATCGGAGGCAGCTGCGGGAAGAGGAGAGTGGAGTCCCACGTATGGAAACGCATCACTGGCTCCTGTCGTCACCCGGAGTCATTCATTCGTTTCATTCATACATTTTTTTTGACCAGTTTTTTCTTCGAGTCCCTTCGAGCCCGGTCGAATTTCCCCTCTCCCCTTGAGAAAAATGGCCGGGTCTGTCAACGGTGGAGCGAGGGAAAAACGATTAATTTTGCATTGTTGCCGACGGATGAGATGAAATGGGAGATAGTGTATAATGTTCCCCTGTCGTCACGCCTCCAAAGACGGACAAGAAGGAAAGGAAAATAGAAAAAGAAAGTGGAAAAAAACCAGGGAAATAAATTTAGAAAAACTCTCACGGTTTAACGCAAAAACAGTCGGGGCGAGGAACCTAACCTTATGCCTCCACACTATCTTCCGTAGGCCCAATGCATGCATGGGTGTCGAATCGCATGTTAGCGTAAGGCTATATGAAAAAAAAGAACTAGGGTGGGTTCTTGTACTTGCTTCATCTGCTCGAATCACTCCATCAAAGCATTTTATGCTGTGATGCATGACTATACGTCACGGGATTAAGCCGCGTCAACTTCGCGACTTTCCTATTCGTTACTGACAGTTCATTCTGGTTTTTCTAAAACTTCACTTTTAAACTGTCTGTTATCTTCCTCTAATGGGTGATCGGTAAATAGATAAATCTCTTTGCGCCTTAAGGGGGGTGGGTTGCATGATCTCCCGGAATCGTGAAAGGAGTATCACGTGAGAAAACTCTCATCCTATGGGAAAAGCGGCCTTCCACAACTAGGCTCATTGCTAATAGCTCCTCTGTTCCTCTGCCCGTCTCTGACAGACCCGCTGTTGTCGGATTCAGACTACAGGAGATACGAAGGGTGAACTGTGAGGTGCCTTTCCGAAGGTAGTTCGAACTGCGGGCGCGTGTTACCATGGGTCCTCCGATGCAATACGGCGGTTCTGCCTCTCTCTCGCCATCATGATTTTTGACGCGGTCATTTTTAGAAGAGTTTTCATCATCGCTGGATAGAGGAAAGACGCTCAGTCTATTTCGTAATATTTCACGCAGGACGTATGGCAAAGCAACGATGAACAATATAATGCGCCGAAATGATAAAAGTAATCCAAGGCTATCGCAATTTATGGCTTCGTATTATAATCCTCGGTATACCCGAGATCAATGATTCGGGCCAAGAACTTTTGATGCGTTTCTTTCCAGACGATGTCTGATTAGTTACCTGTACTTTTGACAAGAACAAGATGACACGAAACACCCGCAAGTCCTCTCGCAATTTTTTTTGCACAGAAAGCTCATACGAGGGAAATGGTAAATGAGCCTTGGCGCATAAAAACAACACAGCTCACGCATGGGGAAGGCGGAGTGGGGCGATGTCCCATTTTTTCTCCCCATTTCTGTTCCTTTTTTGGCGCCATTGTCAATTCGAGGTCTTGTGCCTTGCCTTTGTGGTACTAACTTCATTAGCATGCCGGAAAAAAAATTATGAAAATATCATTTGACGAACTACCACTTGATCGACCGGAGAATGAAGGGAAATAACGAGTGCCTTTCTAAACAATTCTAACGTGGACTTGCCTGCGGTCATATTCACATTCTACGAGATTTCCACGCAATGCGTAAGGAAAATTAAAACAAAATGGATTCTCAAATTTGGCTGAATTTTTTTGGTCGCTTAGTTTCTTATCTGGATGACGTGACTTCAAGCCGGGTCAGTGAGGTTCGACACAATAGGAAGAATAAAGAACTCGAGAACACGCTCTGAGAACCTTTCTGTGAGCACAGGGTGCCCATAAAGTCCAGCATCATAAATAAATATTGACATGTTCCTTTTTCATATATTCAGGTGAGCTATCGAATTGCAACGGTCCCATCGAACAAAAGAAAGAACGGAGTCGATCGGAAGGCCGGTCGCAGCGTTTCCAACACCCCCTATAGAAACATGCACGCCGTCTCGAACTTTGGCTACGATCTTAAACTTAGCGGACACCCTGCAGAAGTGGACACGGGGAGGCACGTTGAGCGACCCATGTGCTTTTTCATACATTTTTTCATGCTTCCGAAGCTGTGCGAATGACAATGACAATTTGCCCATTCAAACCAAATATTCAGGCAAGTTTGGAAGATCAAAGGTATTTGCGAATAGTAGGTACACGTTGCATTTCGCATCGCATTTTTTAATATCGAAGGACTTCCATTGAGCCGTAAAATTTTAGCCGGCGGATTTGAGGACTCGGATACTTAAGCACTACGCCTCACTACTTTTAGAGTTCACACACTTACTAACTGCAGATATTTTCTCCTTATAGCAAAAGTTCGCTGCTTTTCAAGGAACCCTTTGATTTTCGATATTAATAATTGCATAGAAGGCATGTTGTTAATTCTCTTGGAGAAAATTCGAGTTCGATGCTTGTACTGCATCGTCAAATGAGACGTAGGATACCATGTAGCGCCGTTACAACGAAGCGTTCAAAATTACAATTCGGCACCTAGGACGTGGGAAGCTCTACCATGAATAGAATCGATTGAGCACCTGAGATTTCCCGTTCGATGACGAAAGATAGCGAGAGGCTGTAACCGAGTTTAAGATACGGCAAGGACCGGTGCAGGACGGAAGACGGCAATTCTTTTCTAAAATGTCGCACGCATCCTGATGGAATGCTCAAATATACATTCCAGTGGTGTACTTACGCGATCGTTAGAACTGAGGCAATTTAAGCAAACGAGAACTTCTCACGAAACGAGCACGAACGTAATTGCTGTCTGTGCCATTGGAGACGAAAACCGCGGGAAAGAAAAATGGACACTATCCTTACCAGGGCGAGGGGATGAACAGGGGTCGGAGAAGAATTGGAAATCCCGCTTGGATCCCCCGGATTGCTCAGGTCTTCTTCGCCCAGAAGAGCACCCAAGTGGGCGATGTAACTCGTGGCCAGCCGGAGGGTGTCCAATTTGCTGAGCTTGGTGTCCGCTGGGACCCAGGGTAAGGTCGTCTTGAGCCTCGAGAACGCCTTGCTCAGCACCCTCATTCGGGCCCTTTCGCGGGCGTTTGCCGCGTTTCTTGCTGCCGGTTTGTGCCCTTTCTGGCCGTGAAGGTCGTGGACTCCGGACTCCTTTCGACGACGTGGCATTCTCTCCCCTTCTACGAGGGGACAGACGGAGAGACTCGTGGAAGCGTGCCTCGAAAATCTCAAGTGCCTGGTAAATGGCAGTTTTTTTTCCTCCCAAGGTCGACCCGTGGACGTAAATTCCCACTCACCTGAACCGAATCTGGATGGGAGCCTGAGCCGAACGATGCAACTCGTCCACTCGATGCCACCGACCGACTGCACGACTCGCAGTCTTCTTCCCCCTTCTTTGTTTTTCCAGGGCTTTCACGTATTCCTGGTTCTCTTGTCGAGGTGATAATGACGACGGGAAAGAAGGAGGGGGCGGTTCCAGGATCTCCTTCCTCCCCAATCCCTCGTGTTCTTTCCCCGGGAACTCCCCTCCCCTCCCACTTCGCTACACCCCCTCCCCCTGTTTCCTTATGCAAACCTCTCCAGGATCCACATGCCACACATGCGGGAAGGAATCTCCGATCTGAGACCATATTTTGGTACTGCAAAGGCACGGTTGAACTTCGCCTAACTTGCGATTCCTCCGTACATACTCCTGAAGTTGAATCCAACTGAGGTCTGAGGATCTTCCATTCACACTTTATTTCACGACTTCTTTTTACTAGTCGAGAGAGAATTCCGTTCTGCGTGCAACATATTTCGGAGTTTTGAATGATTTCGCCAAGGATAGAAGACAAAAATTCTTGCTGACGTCGTTGGCCTTGCACCTGCAGACTGCTGGAGTTATTAGTCAGCTTTTTTTTCCTGCACAAGAGGAAGAGGCCACTTTTTGTCCCAGTCCGATTTGTCTTTTCATATGTCAGTCTGTAACCACTGTTGCTCGTTGGCGACGACCCAAATAATATCGTATGATCAAAGCGAATTTTGGATTGCGGACACATATGGGCAAAAACTGTACCGATGGCCGATGCCGGTGCCGATGGTAGTCTGAAAATTGAGAAGTAACATGAAATTGCATACTAATTCAAAGGGTGCTATTTGGAAACCCTGTGATACTTGTCAGGGAACCCCATAAAAACCACAAAGACCATATTTGGTACTGTCTGTCTGCGTTCGTCAGTTGCTAGCTTGTTAACTATTGCTGCTATTAAGAGCGTTTATCGACACATCTCCCGCAAAAGAATAACATAAAAGGTGGTGAAAGGATTTCCCGTTTTTACCGCTATTTTCCTCCACTAGTTTCTAGAATAGGGCTGAAATGTAATCCGATCGATATTTTTCAGGTTCACACGTTCACTCTAATTTTTCCCCATAAATTTTGCCCGTAAGTTTTTGCCCTTCTTTTAAACATCGGCATCGACAGCCTGCAGACCTGTCGATGGCGCCGATAGTGCAACACTGGCAGCCGATACCGGTGTTTGCCGATACATCGGCACAGCCCTACCAAAAACACATTTTCTTCATTCGAGAAACCTCTGTTCGCGAAATGAATCGCGCGGTCGAGACTCAGAAGTCACTAGTATTTCGTTCGACAAAATGATGGAACGAGGCCCCCTTCGTCAAACGAAAGCTTGCTGTTGGACCGGCTTCTTCCCTGTCGGAGTGAGTCGAGGATGAATTAGGCGGATCATTTCGTCGTTCGGAGCAGGGTCGACAGAAAAGGACACCTCTCCGATTATTTTCGTCTCGTCACACGTCACATAAAGCTTAGGCCGAGATGAGGATCTCCTTCGGTTGTGAGAACATGCACGCATCGTTTCCCTCCGACGCCCATAACGCCCGACAGCCCCAATATTTCAGGATTCCTCGAGGAATCCACGCGGACCCGTGGGGGGGAAACAAATGAATGGGAGGAGACGGACGGGACTCATCTGGTTTCGGCAGCACGGTTGTCATCTTCTTTCGTCCTCACGGTGGTCATCCTCTTTCTCGTGTTTCAGTTCTCCGGGTCATCGTCGGTCGTCGACTGGCCGTGGCAAACGCGTCTCGTAGCGATCGTCTCACTCGTCATCGTCAGATGGATTGGCAACGAGGTAGCACGTCGAGAAAGGTTTCTGTTTTCCGTTGGGGAGTAGGGAGCAACGAAAGCTCATGCCTGACGACGGTTGCAATCGACCAAATGATTGGCCGTTGCATCGCGTGAGTAACTACTAACTACTCTCATACTTCTGATTCCACATTACTCATCCCAATTTGATGGAACCCCAGTGCCATTTAATCATGCGTAGCGTAGGCACGATGAACTCTCCACGTAGCATCGGAACGGCCAGAGAGTGGTGTTCGCAATGTTCAAGATGTCGCAATGGTACGCATCATTTTGCTCAATATTACCAGCAGAATTTTAGTCATCTATTTCGTTTATCTGCTACGCGTCAAGGGCCATTCAAAGAAGCCAAGGGAAAAGGCAGAAAAAAAACCCCGAAGGGTGGGGCAGCCGCCGTCAGAATGTCTGGGGGGTCCACGTTCACCCTCGGGGTCACTCCAAAGGGGGGAGGGGGGGGGGGGAATGCCCTAATGGACTCCTTCTCTCTCTCTCTCTCTCTCTCTCAGACGGAGATTTTCAAAAAAGCCACGAGATCGAATGACAGCGATGGAACTGGAGAAGTGAATCTGTTCGTAGGGAAGTGAGCTTGCCCTTCCCTTCGTCTCTCCACCTGCAAAAACACTCCCAACCTGCCCTTCTAGTGTCAAAATATTGTTCATTGACTAATCAGTTGACGACAACAGGATTCATTTTCACCCAACTTTTCACTGCCATAGATTAGCATCTGCTCTCGACGAGTGGAGAAGTGCACTGAATCCCCCCCCCCTAAAAAAAACTGTATTGCAAAAGTTGTAGGGCTAAACCGCTCCTACGCAGACCTTGGCACAAATTTCCTCCCAAATGTCCATCTTTTTGTGCGCTTTTTAAATGGTAATGTGGATCGCTGCTTAGTACTACCAGAACCTGAAAGGTGAAATTTAAAATTACCTCTTTATTATAAATGGAAAAAAATTATGCAATAGCTGACAAGGCCTTCTCACGAAAGCGTAGATACAAAGAGAGGCGAGAAATAGCCTCGAAACAAAGGAAAGGTTCAATTTACGACGATCGCATGTCTATGAAACCTATCTTAATGAATGCGAGCCCATCCACACCAGAATTCAGGATCCTGAAATATTCAGTCGCAAAGACAGAAAATCCTCCCATAGGTCTGCCGGATGAAGCGACAACCCGCGACGAAGCAGATGCCCCCCAGAATCGGGACCAAAATTATCGAGGGAGAATTCTTGCCCTTGGTTCACCTCGATTACGATCGCCCTCTGCAAAACCGACGCTGAACGTATGCTGCTCCTATTCCAAAAAAAAAAAGGTGGAAGCATGAGCAACCTCTCTTCGCTTTGTGCGGTGATGGTCTCAGATTACATCAGGTTTCCATTACAAAGTTTCTCCATGGGGAAACCTGATGTCATGCACCGCATTTAACAGAAACTTTAAGAGTTTCTCACAGACACCGTTTAATCAATCGATCCACCTTCGAGCCATGAACTCGCATTCTGATTACGACACGCAGTCTCCCAATAGTAAGAAGTTGAAACCAGGAAGTTCCATTGTAGTCCTTGGAAAACCTGAAAACCGGTCATTCTTTCGAGATCCGCTCGAAGCCAAATGAGACACGATAGCAGAAATGAAGCTGTGATCAGCAGATCCCAACTTATTTTCGAACGACCGAGAGCAAATAATCACAACATTTTTGAATTTACTGTCCACGTTTTCGAGGAGTCTGGCCTCTTCGGATGACAAATGGTCCTTGTACGTATAATTTCACAAGTTTTGAATGCGATGTCGATTTTACATTTTTTTTGCATTTTCTTAAGAACTCAGAACTTGTTCTCGAAAGCACAAATATTCTTCTACCCAGCAAAATGTTATTTAATCAAACAGGCACGAAATGGAGTGCGATGAACTTCGCACATGTTGCTCGCTTTTGTGTGCGTGTGTGCGTGTGTGTGTGTGTGTGTGTGTGTGTGTGTGTGTGTGTGTGGGGAGGATGTGATGTTACCGAATTTCAATCGCTTCCTCTTCTCGTCGACTCAGCCTTGTTTGTTTGGGTTGTCTTGACAAGTGTCGGGGCGGCAAAAAGGGCACGCGCGTCAAATGATCTTGTTTGCAGGAACCCGCCTCTTCTCTCTCCTTCTCTCTCCTTCTCTCGCTCTCTCTCTCTCTCTCTCCGTCAATGTCTTCCCGACAAAAGGGAGGAAGGAAATCATTCACTTTTTTTTAATGGCACTTGGGGACGTAGTGCCGGCTCTAGTTGCCGTCCATCTGCGAACCCGTTGGTTCCGACGGTCCTCAGGGTCATTGCCTGCAACTTTGTTTATTGTACGCAATCCCGTCCCTCGTTCCACTCCTCATTACCCTCTTCTAATGTCAACAATGTCGACAAGAGCGATCGAGATCGAAAAAGCTCCACGCGCGGCGGCATGGGGTTTCGATCCGCGTTTCCAACAGTAAGTCACACCGACTGCGGAAAAAATCAGCCAACTTTTTTCCCAAATTCCCGCCCAAGTTTTCCTGCAACCAATTACACGACCCCCCATTTGAACCCATTGAACAATCCACGAAACAGACTGGGCCGCTTGAAGCGACATCTCACGGTGCATCCTTCCGAGACGCTTGCCATCCGTGACAACGCCTTCAACGCTATGATGTTCTCGTCGGCTGATCAGAAAATTGGTTTCAAAAATTGTTCTTCGCTGACAAATTAATCGAGAGCGTATCTTGATTAGCGTAGCAAGTTTTTTTTGCCATTTATATTAAATTATGACGCAATAGTTAAATTTTGACAAATTTTCGCGCAAATGAAAATGTTCGAAAAAGCCTCGCAAGAAATTTCGACAAACAGATTCGCATCGGTCGGAGCAACACGCACTCGGGCCCGACCGATCCGTTTTCTTCGTCTGTCAGATGTTGAAAATGCATCATATGCTGTTGAGATTATTCATATCTGTATTTTGTATTTTTTTGTTTGACCGATTCCCGAGTACCAAGATTCAAATGAATATAAGACTTTTGGGAATTGCATATACTAAGACCGCATGCAAATACACACCATCTTTAAAAATACTTCGCTTTGATTTGCAACAGAACCGAAAATGTCGGCGCACGCCTTGACGGAAATGGACGAAAATACGGGGGGAAATCAGTTTCGTCCACGATGTCCTGACTTTTCATTCTCGTCCCCTTTTCGCCTTTTCATAATTCGTT